AATAAACAAAATTAAAAAAAAAAAAAAAAAAAAAGGTTCACAAGATGCTGATAAGGCCGCTTTGGTATTCGAGAAAGACCAAATACTAATGAAGATCTGGTTAATGAGCATGAATTCATTTTTCATAAAGCACCAAAACCTAGTCCAACAGAAGGCTCTGTAATATTTCAAGCTATTATCCCTAAAGCTTTCCAAATATTTAAAAGCCGAGTTTGCCCTTCAGACCTCATCACTCTGTTTTCAGACAAATGGAAAGATCTGAACTGATAAACTGTAACAGCTGTTTCAGAGACAAATGTATATGGGCATTTTATGCTATGTTTAAAAGCATAAGATATTCAAAGCCATACGAAGCCTACTCACTCTCAGTACTGATGCGTTCATTAAAAAGCATGCCTGCAAAAAGGTCAAACTCATGATGTTCGAAATTCAATCCTCTTAACGAATACATTGTCTTGGCTCAAATTATCAACTAATGAGTTGCACAACTTAATTGAAAAGTAATTCAATTATATATTTTTTGTGTTACTATCTTCTTATATTACCATTGTAGCATGATTGACAGACTTCAGAAGGGAATTTGCACAAAACAAGGGAAATAATACGTTCATCTGCAGCAGCTTGACTTCTGCTTGCACAGCCCCTGACACAAAACATGAGCAAAAATAAAGCAGAGAAGAGCACTATAGAAACCTTACTTAGATGAATGTGAAGGAAAGCCTTAATATGAATTTGACTGCAAGAGAACCACACCTCAACATACACAGGCAGGGACATTGCGAAGTCTGAGAGACACTGTGAAAGACAAACCATGTGGAGGAAATCCTTCTCAGAAACTAAGGAGCAGGTTTGTGCGGGAAAGTGGTATCAGTTCAGTTGATCTTGCCAACACACTCAACAGCTAAATGTATTCCTCCACAAAGACAGCATACACAAATGTTAATATGCTGTGATCTCAGCGACAATGTAGAAAATGGTAACTATGATTTATTACTCAATCATGAACTCATGAATCAGCCTTCTCAGAAACTAAGGAGCAGGTTTGTGCGGGAAAGTGGTATCAGTTCAGTTGATCTTGCCAACACACTCAACAGCTAAATGTATTCCTCCACAAAGACAGCATACACAAATGTTAATATGCTGTGATCTCAGCGACAATGTAGAAAATGGTAACTATGATTTATTACTCAATCATGAACTTCATGAATCAGGGGCGGGGGGGGGGAGGGAGCGCATGCGTTAAGAATTATTCTTATGAGAGAGCGCGAGAGCAGGAGGGACAGAAGGGAAGAGAAATATTATTGTACCTACCAGGATAGCCTCCAACATAAATGGGATTGTTCGTATCTGCAGATGTTGACTGGATGTAGGGATTATCAGTTTGAACCAAATTCCCATCAATTATCAGCGAAATGCGATGTTTGCTTTTGTTTGCTTGAAGCTTGTGCCATTTTCCATCACACAAACTATTTGTGCCTCTTGGTTCATATGTAGCTGTTACTCTGCCAGCTCCATTGTTGACATGGAATAAAACCTGTATAAACAGCCATATGCCAATAAAGATATAAAGTAAGAATACATGAACTAATTTGCCTAGATAAAAGCACAATCATGCTGGTGCAGAGATTTCCGTTTTAATAAATGCTTGGTAATTATGGAAAAGCTAATGTTTACTTTGATGGTTAGAGTGTATCCTTATTGAAGTATCTTTAAAATCTACAAGACTTAGATCTATCATGCAACGGTCCGTTGAGTTAGCTTGGTATACTTCACTTGGGATTTCAATGTTTCTTATAAATACAAATCAAGTAATTTTCTCACAGAAGCTGAGACTTCAGATCTGAAAGAAGACCCACTGTACCTAACTGAAGAGAAAGAGAATGGACTGAAAGTACTTGTCATTGCCAATACATGTATTGTTTTATTACATGTATTTATTTTTCAAAGCAGCAGACATTTCCTCAACTCTGTGGGTTGGTGAGGATTAATATGTAAATATTAACTGAGAAAGTATGTCCCACAGAAACAGTGATATTTAACACTGTCTTTAGCTAGGAAGTTTTGAATAAAAAATGAGCTATTTCTGAGAAAAGGAAATACTTAAGAGCAATCAAGTATACATTTTTAATGCAGGATATGAGTGGAAAACTATGTATTGATTGTTAAAAGGTTTATGGAGCACAATGGCCAGTAGAAGTAGAGAGTGAGTTAATTGCTCATGAATATTGAAGAAGAGATTACAAAACAGGGTGCTTTGTACATGCAATAATCTGTTTATCAAGGACAAGTGTAGCTCTATGGCAGAAAAAGTATTAAGCTACAAGAAAGGTACTTGTGTGGTCTAACATACAAGGTACATAGTACAGGAGGTCACAGTAGCTACAGACTAACATAAATTACACTAATTAAAAAGGCAAAAATGTTCCAGTGACTTCTGCTAATCTCACATTTTATCAGATGATGGTGATGATGATAAACCTTGAGACTGAAAGTTTGCCCCATACTACTTCTGTGGGGATTTGGTTTGGACATTTTGCCTCCATCACATTTCACTAGCATCTATTTAGTGCTACCCAACAGTTCTAGCCTCCCAGTTTTAAGCAAGCCTTGTGAAATGAGTGTGCCAGCACAGCGCAGCCTACCTTGCCATTTACAATCTCCAGTCCAATGGCATCAACCTTAGCACTGCTGACCCCGAGGAGAACTCCATGGACCGCTGTCGTACGAAACTCCAGTGTGATGTTCACATCAGACCGGACTTTGTAACCTTCTCTGACTGAAAAGAAATTATAAGCTTCTAGTAGAAGACTTGTAACCCACAGTACAAAGTAGAATACATACATTGTCATTGAAAGGCCTAAAAAGCTTGTTACTCTGCTGGGATACCACCTTGCAGAACCTCTGGAAAGTAAGTTTTCCAAAGTCATAATCCACATTTTATACTGGAAAAGATAAATTCCCAAGTAAGTTTTCTTTCATTAATTTAGATTTAATACATTCTATCTCATTTGTAAGAAACAGTAAAGAGCACAAATGTAATCCTTCATGTTACTCCACAAGTCCCCTAGGTCTTTTGTCTCCATACCCTTTAACAGACCTTAACTTAACATCATGAACATGGATATTCTTAGCTGAACAAAGAGGTAGTTCATTTGTTTCCCAGTGCTAGAATCATTAGCTCTTTCATTTGTGGAAGATAGCCCTTTGCAGAAATGGCCACTTTTGGATGTATGGAGTAAAGGGACTTAGTTAGAAATACATATGCATGGCATGAACTCTTTGTGTGAGGAGTCAATTAATTACACACAGTTCCAGCAAGACCTAAAAAGAGTACGTTTTCATTAACATTAATTCAGCAAGGTACTGCTTTCAATTACTGACACTTACCAAGAGCAGCAAAGCCACTCCCATCAAAGAAAGTACCGTCCTGCACTGTTACATAGCATTTATTCACAGCAAAGATGGAGACAGGGCTCTCGTTGTCCAGTTGTTTGCTATTAATTGTCATGCTACCAATGCAGGCAGGAATACTGTGAGTCACCTAAGCATATTGAAATATAAGAGTTAATGTGTAATACAAACTGCTGCAATGCTCTCTTAGTGATTCACCTGGTGTTATTGTAAATAAAAAATTCTCTGAACAAAACACAGCAGGATCTAAAATATTTATGTAATTACATTTCTATTATTACATATATAAGATTACAAATGTATGTAATGCCTTAGAGTCAAAATAACTATTGTTTAGAATCACAGTATACGCTCTCTATAACATATAGAAAGAAATGTATTTGCTTGAATGTGAGCAGGAATACACCCAACAGCTGAAGACATTCCAAACATGTTTCAGCAAATTAACAAGTAAATCAAGATTTTGACATTTTGCAAGCGTAGATCACCAGAGTTCTATCCAGCAAAAAGATTCATTAGAATTCCTCACTATTACTATTTTCAGCAACTGCAGATTCAAAGTATTAAAATATTTGTTAGCCCCATTGTCCAATTAAAAACCATTACGTCCAGGAATTGAGAAACATTATCAACACTGGAATCCTCCCTGAGATAATGAACTGCACAAGGAGGAAGGTGACAAAAACCTACCCTCCAAAAGCATGTGTAAAAAGTATGTTTTAATCTCAGACAGCTAAACTCAGTCTTTCAGAGATAGTTAAGGCACCTAATTTCTGTTTGAATGCAATAGGACTTAGGTACCAAAATGTCTGAGATTCTAGGTCATATTTTTATCTTATACTATGAAACACAGGAATTTAGATTCTTTATCCATTTTTAACAGAGAGATTGATAGAAGAAAAAAAATCTATTAAGGGCTATTACTAAAACACAAGCACACAAGCTCTAGCTGGAATCGCTAAGCCATAGAAAGCTGGAAAGATTATCTGGTAAAAGGTCATTACTTTCTTTGTTGTTTCTTTCCCCAAGTACTTCTTTTTTGCCCCTATCAGAGACAGGATACTGAATTAGATGGGTTTGATGCAGTATAGTCATTCTAGTATTGCAAAATGTCAGAGATGCCCCAAACCTTCTTACATTCCCAAGATTCTTCGGCACGTAGTCTAAGGGGAGTCCTCCCACATAGAGCTTCCCCTCCACATCCAAAGTGCTACCATCTCCCAGAGCACTGACTGCTACCAATTCCTGTCCGTCCACAATGAGTATACCTTTTCTTTTAACGTATTCTGTCTTTACCTGGAAAAAATAAGAGCATGCAAACATGAATCAGTAAACTGAATCAGTTACCTAGTCATCATTTGCCCTAGAAGTAAGCAAGACAATTTTTTAGTGGTTAGATTGCTTTGATATACTGTACTGAGGCATCCTCTGAGGCTGAGGCCATTTCAGAATGCAACTGAGCAGCTAAACTGCTTCCTTGCCTCCCCAAGGGCTCACAATGATTACATGTTGTCCTGCTTAAGTTTTTCAATGTCTTAACAATCATTATTTAAAACCACTAGTTTATTGCCTTATTATGAGTACATCACTGAGTTTGAAGTGGGGAGTACCGTGCTGGTCTTCTGCAATTATTGTGCTACCCACCAGCTGAGCCATCTTAGCTCTCTGAAGTGCACACTCCGATGCTCTAATTTTATGATGAGCAGTGCTGAATTTGCTATGACCAAAAAGCTTTCCAGTTCTGTCCATCTTGTTCATTCATGCCCCTGTGTCTTCCTTGCACTGAAGCAATTACTCACATACAGATGAGGGACTTTATTTGAAGTCAGCTAGCCGTTTATTCTTCCCTGGTTACTTTTAGCCCCACTCAGAATCCTGACCAGGTTCAACATGAGGTTTCACGAACATTTGGGTTGGTAAGGGGATAAAGCGGTACAGCAGGGTGATATGAGCAGATGGCAGAGAATGGAAAGAATTGCTTCTTTCAGCAGCAATGCATATTAGCTTAAATTGCTTGTAGAGCTACTGCAATAATCACCCCCAGCTGTGAAGTGGTGTGACTCAGCCTTCATCTCTGAAAAAAGGTTCAAGTTCATGTTTTTACGTCCTGGGTAGTAAAGGTAGGTCAGCTTTCATATGGAATCTCTTCATCTCTTAAAAAGTGGATAGTGTGAGTATGAGTTTTATGTGAGTATATGTAATTTTAAACATGCAGCTGTAAATCCTGGAGTGTTCTTCGTTTCAGGGTAGGCAGCGGAGCTTAACTGTGATCTCTCTCTCTGACTGAAGTTCACATTTGCTTTCTTTTAGTTTTTGCTGGTTTTTCTTCTGCTGATTATATATGAAAAGCAAAAATAACACTCTGCTGATTCCCAAGGCACCTAGAAGAGGTGCAGCTTTGTGTCATCAATCACTTTGTCCTACAGAAGCCACTTCCTGGAATTAAGGCTTCACATATGGACAAGGGAAGGGAAGCTTAGTAGGATGAATATTGTTATCCTCATCTGCCTTAAGGAAAAGTAATGTGGTCAGAGTTGCTTTTAAAACTCATGCAGACATCACAGTCATTTTTGATGAAGAAAGCCAGAGCCAGCAGCAGGTGGGTTGCTCAGAGGAACTGGGCCAATAGAGGTTGACACAGAGTCTTTGTACAGAAGGCCCTGAATCCTACGTGACGCCTGAAAGCTGTAGCCATAATTTCTCCTCAAACTCTCCTTATGCCAAGCCCTCCCCCTCCAGCCTCCATTCATTCCAAATGTCTACCTTTCTCATGTTGCATCAACCAAGGAAAGGAAAGAGAGTGCTTCTCTATTAGCACTAGCTGCTATGACATGCTCAAGTATTAAGCGATAAGTGGGAGAAAGGAGAAACTGCACCCACAAATCTCTGTCACACGCTCAGTTGCAGGTCTTTGGTGACACGGTGCATGAAAAGCTCTCTGTGGTAAAGTCAGAGTTTCTAGACCTCTCTGTGGGGTTCTTCTCTGGTGAAGATGACCATTATTACATAGTTGGTGAACTATTTTATTTCTAAATAATCTGAGATACTTGACAGTGGTTGGATGCTGGAATTGATGCATAATTAATGAGAATTTTAAAAGGAAATAATTATACTCAAACACAAGTTATCCGAATGGTTTCATGATTGGGTTAAAACCTGTTTGCCTTTGCAACACAGAAAGCGTACAGGAAAGGTAGGGAAAAACCATCCCAGTCACTCCAGGGAAGAAAAAATGGAGTACAAGATTGGTGACTACCTACCGTATGCCATTTTCCATCACTGATAACAGCAGGGTGAAAAGCTACTGCTTTTCCTTTGCCTAAATCAAATGAGAAATAGAGCTGTCCCCCATGAAGCTGTAGGGCTGCATAATCAACCTGGTTCTGGTGAGCCATGTAGTAAATCAGGCCACTGGAGGCAAAGGTTCTGAGATTCAGCTGGACAGAAAGTCTAGACAATAAAAATTCAGTGTTACTGAGAGGTATTTCTTCTGCATTGATAAAAAGCTTTTCTGGAGGAAGAAAACAGCCTCAACCAATTTATTATTATGAAAGGAAATTTATTATTACAAAGGCCAGAAAAGTAGAATTTGCATTGATTCTAAGAAAGCATGACATATAATGTATTTCATAATAGAAATCAGTGCTGTACCTGTCAGAGACAGAAAAAGTGCTTGTTAGAGAGTGAGCTGGGCTTTAAGAGGGACAAGGCTCAGCTGTTTGTGACTGCAGGCTTGCCTATTGCCCCAAGAAAGGAACGGATTCCAGGATAATGTGATGGCATCCGTTACTATCAGCCAGGCTTGCTGGGGTATAATGGGCAGACTGAGAACAGAGGAAGGCTTAAAAGGTAGAGGAGCTGATTGAGCCATTTATTAAGGAGACACTAGGTTCAGACCGCATAGCATCAATCCTCTGCAACGTTCTTATGTTCAATAGTTACAACAGAAGGGCTAGAAGCAAAAAGGCTCTTTTCTCAATGCCTGCATAGGCTTCCTGAGTTGAAAGAAGCATACGCGAGTGGCTTGCAGGCTGTGTTTTGGGGACCTTGTTGGGAGCCTCTCAAACAAATAAGAGTGGCAGAGAGGCTATCACATGTTAAGTCTCAACAGAATGATTCTTCTCAGTAGTCTTAGCTCCTTCAGTGACCTCGGGAGTGAAGCAGATATGGAAGGTGCAATTGCAGAAAATCCAGAGGGGAGGGCAAGATGTTATCTGCATCAGTCAAAGGAGCAGGGACCAGCTGAGCTCTGTATGTGGAAAACAGAAATCAAAATACTTACAGAAGGTACAGTGGGGCTCTTAAGTCTGAGGAGAAAAAAATGCAGAACTCTGACCATGAGTTAAACTCATGACCACAAACCTGAGAAAGACATATTAATTACATTGTGGTGGTCGTGATACCTTCTTCCATGAGGAACCCATAGAAACCTCAAGCAAGGGCCATGTTCAAAGCTGGTAATGCAGCGATCATTCATGAAAACCATCATTGCGCTTCTTGTAGCTCAATACAAGATAACACACTGCGTGCAGGTGTGAGTCAGGATATACTCACTTCTTCCTGACAGTAGACTGATTGAAGAGCAGAGTCAAGTGGCTGCCTTTGGCAAGTCCAAACTGATGGGCACCTTGAACATGATCAGGTAGCTCATCTTTTGCACAAACTACCTGTTAATGAAAGGACTTTATTAAGAATAGTATCAGGTGCTGACCAGCAAGTGCTGAATGGCAACGTGCCTATGCAGAACTTTGTAAGGAGCAAAACTGAGCCACATCATAACCACAAAGTATACAGCAACATCAATTAGCTAAATTCCCAATCATTCTGAGCAATCTTTACGCTCAAAAAGAACTAGTTCTAATGATTAAGCTACGTCTCATGGACAGCACTGGTCTTCTCTACTGAGAAATGTTTCTAGTTTGAGAAGCATCCATTCACTATTTGTCTTAATTGATAGCCCTTTTGATAACAAATGCTGGAAGACAGAGTACAATTTCAGTGTGAAAACCTTATGGACTTGGTAGAAATATTTTCCCATTTAGTGAGGATGCACATTTTTGTCATGATTTGGGGGATGGAGAGCTGAGTAACAGAGTATGAGCCAAAACGATACTTTAGCTCTAAGAAGGACAGCTTACTTCTTTTTATAGCCACAGTTGTATGAAATGTATACAATCCTGCTTTCTGTTGCCACAGAAAAATGATTTCAGGATGCTTTGGAAACACTTCATTATAAAGATGTGCAGCTGCAGAAGGAGAGAAGTAATGCTGCCTTCTCTCTTGGGAATAAGGACTGTGTGAGAGGAAACAGGTGCCAAGCAAGCTGCATTCAGACACTGTGTGTCTCTGGAATGGTTTCTGCCTCCTCTTTGACACAGAGCAGAGACTGCATGTGTGTGACCAGGAAAATGTGAATGCTGAATTGCACGGCTAATATAAATCTCAGCACAGAGCCACTTTGGCAGGAACACACTAAAGATTAGTTACTGTCAAGTCCTTCTGCTGGGGGATTATCACTCCTCTTTTTCTTTTCTTTTTTAGTGTTGCTGCCTTAAAAATATTAAACCTAACCACATTTCCCTTCCAAAAGGCCAACAGGCTGTTACAAAAGATATCACTGTTTTTCTGTAAGAAATAATAATTTCAAATTCACATTCATTGAACCATTCCATACCATAGAAGAAGCAAATATACAGAGTCCATACTTAGAAAATTCTCCACAAACCTAAAATGCATCTTGCTGTTGAACACTTTCCTAGAAGAGGCAATAGAGCTTTGCTGTAATACATACTTTTTTTGTATCTGTAAGAGGCCTCAGGGGAACTGGTAAAGCCTGAAGTTCAGGTTGAATCTCAGTGTCTTCTGGCTGTATGGCTGGTTTAGGCTTCTCTGACAAAAAGCAGCTGTCCATATCCACATGTTCATACTTCATGGAAGTGGTGAAATACAAAAGCCTGTGTTTTAAAAAACCTACATTTTAAGAGGTGAAATCCCAAATCCCTACCTTTCCCAAGCACAAGGAGAGTATTTTACAGGATCTTTCACTAGTAACAGGAGAAAGGGAAAGAAGTGGCATGCTGGGAGAAAAAGATTCAGAAGTGGCAAATAATCTGTCCATAGAACAATATTAATAGACAATATTCTTGGAAAATCATTCTGTCTGTGAATGCAGATGAAACTATAGTAGAGAATGTTGCATTTTGTGCAGCGTCTCTATACACATTAAAGACATTTTTGATGCTGTTTGGAAACGTAGCTGGTAATATCCATTTTCTGCCTGTTATAACACCCAGATCATCAGTATCATGATTGTCTTATGTTAAAAACCAGGCAAATGGACAATGTCATGAAAGAGATTACAAACTACAATTAATAAGTACTACACACAGTTTTCCAAAACAGGGCATCTACCCCTCTGACTTACTCTTTGTTAAAAATAAGATTGCTGATACAGCCATGAAAGGAGCCAGCCATTTTTAGCCCTAAGATGCCCTCTCCTGCTGGAATGCCACCAGCGTAGAAGTTGGAAATATTCATGGGGCTCATTTCTGCTGATGAACCAAGCCTCAATTCTGCAGGGTTACTTTCATCCACCTGTACAGTTATGATCCTGAAAAAGATGAAGTAGGGAAAACATTCAACAAGGGCCTTAGACATTCATTTTCAAATGAAAAGCACTCCTTTAAGCCTCAGAAATGTCCTGTTCTAAGAAATAAAGATTCCATCACTTTGATAATCCTTTCAGTGTCTTAAAACTAGAAGACCTTCTTCTTTAGATAATTTTTAACATGTAGAGTTTTGTCAAATATCTTTCTAAATTATTTTGATAGCTGTATTTTTTTCTAATACTATTTAGTATACTTTACTCAAGTGGCATAAGCTGTCTAGAGATTTTGAGAGCTTTTAACCAGAACTTCATCAGTAGCTGTATGCTGTATACAACTACCATGTAAATCAGAACACCTCCATTAACAGCAGAAAAACACAGCCCTGATTATTCCACCTAATGAGCTAGCAAAGGCAGTTCCTCAGAGTCCAGTGAACTGACAACAGCATACAATAATTAAACAGGTAGTACTGTCTGCAGTCACATGTACCTCTTATTCCGGATTAGGATGACAGAGTGTTCTTGTCCATCACTGTATGTTCCATTGGCAGACTGAAGAATTACTTTTCTAGTACTTGCTCTATCTCCAGCATTAACATGCACTGCAAGATGACCATCAATCAGCATGATGGCAAAGAAGGGCTGTGGATTTAATCAGAAGATTAATTTTTAACTATAATTCAATTTCTTGTCACACGTTCAGTGTTTAAATAGAACATACTTTGGAAAAATTTACCTCCCACTTTGTTGTAAACTAACTTTTTAAGAAAACTCAAAGACTAGTAGGCATGTATTAGTACCTCTCAGAGTGCAAAGCCTTCTAACAGAAAACACAAAAGCTGGAAATTTCTCTGGTCATGATAAAAATTCAGGTTAAAATGCAGGAGTTTTTTTCTACCACCACCACCCCACTCCTCCCCTCAGAGGAAGGAAATGAGAAGGGGCAGGTATTCCTACTAAGACTTTGTCCTTGGATTCCAGGAGCTCCAAAACAGTCCACCAGATATGAGACAGCTGTTCATCTCAAATCCTTCAATAACTACTTCTGACTACAGGAGTGGAAAGTAATACGTTGTGTGCATTTCATGTGCAGTTTTCCTCCTTGTTGCAAAAGCATTCTGGGTCCTAGTAACCGTAATAGGTCTCTTCTAACTGATCCATCACCTCTCCTCTGCTCCAATGAATATCCTTCTGTTCCCCACCTAGCCTCTATATTTGGGCCTTCCTAAGCTGATTAAATTTTTCTTTCTCATTCTTTTGCAAGTTACAGTCATAAAAACCTGACTTGATATTACAAAATAAAAATGGCAAAAACAAAACCAAAAAATCTTTGTTTTCAGTACTTGCCAAATGTGCTTGTCTGCGTCGACGCTTTTCCAGTCCCCTGCTGAGTCCAGCAAGGATGATGCCACTGCTGTTCTTTGTAGCAAAAGTTGCCATCAGTTCTGATTCTGGGCTTAAGGACTTAGGTACCAACTCAATATATCCGTTGTTCAAGATGTTCACACTATGAATAGGCTATTTTAAGAGGAAGAGAAATAATTACTGACTTCGTCCCTACACAGCGCCCAGTAAGAAAAAAAAGAATATTTCAAGTATAGATTAGATTATCTTAGAATTTTTCAAGATAAACCCATTTCAACTCACTATATTCTTTCACAAACATTACTATTCATTGTTCAATAACAATAAAGATCAGGTCACAAAACCTAAAAGTCTCCTACCTCCAATACACAGCCTTTTCTTACTCCATATGAATTTCTAAGCAAGTCAAAGGTTGAAAGGGATATTTCCAGATTCTTGATGCATCCCACATACATTCTACTATTAAGACCTTTCCTGAAACACAAAACAAGGCTTTTTTTCCAAGGAGCAGTATTTGGAATCTCCTGGGAGAAAATATTAAGTTCTCTTCAATAAGAAAAAGAGATCTGTTTTAAAGAATGAGTCAGCCCAGTGTAAGTGAAAACAGGGGTAATTTGGGTTTTACTCTTAGCAGATATTAATTCTGATCTTAAAAAGAGTCAGATAACGTTGTCCCCAAATGGAAATATACAAGTGTGTAGTGCTGTGTTGCCAGGCCACGTCACTTTCCAAAACTTTAAGGTGAATCTTCAGCTGAAATGTAATGGCTTTTGTGTGAAGAGAGTAACTGTAGCTCTCTACTACCTAGAAACTCTTTTTCATTTCTTCAGTCTGGAGGATGCCTAATTTGGTTCCAGGTTTAAGTCAGAAAAATCTAAGGCTCGCCTGCCGTAATCCCTTACAGGCTGCCATGCCAGCTACGATTAACAAGTCTGCACCTCTGCAATAACTGCGCAGAGACCAATATTGTCCTGGAATTTACCTTATTGTCACGAGCATGCAGACAGTTTAATTAGATTTTCTTTTGCCATGCTTATCCTTTCAAAGTGAAGCCACTGGAAGAAATGTGACTTTACAAGTTCAGCAGGGATGTGCTATACAAAAAGTATAAACTAGAGACATGCTATAAAATATATATTTGTAATGTTTTTTGTTGATCTGTTCACAATTGTTTCTCCTCTGTTCCAAGTTTCAAAACTGAATTACAAGAATTCCTTTCTGAAGTAGAACTTTTACCCTGAAGCACAGTTTTGCCCGTAAATGCCAGCTGGAAAACACAAGGCTCACACAGCTAGAGATCACAAGGAGCATCGTTCCAGGCAGCAGTGCTGAATGCTTGCCGCAGTCTGACACAAAGAGCAGGCGGCTGCTGTAGCAGCTGCTGTCGTGGAAATCACCCATAGACAGGAAAAACAGAAGCTTGCCTCTGATCTGAACTGCAGTGTCAGACCTGCCAGTGAAAAGCACCATATTAGAGTTTGAAGGCAAAGGACAGGTAATTCTGTGGTATACATGGCCATAAACAAGGCTTCAGACTTCACGGATTTTCACTAATTTCAGTGGAGTTAGCAGAGTTTGTTAAAGTCTTTCCCTCTTACTTACAAGAGTCTTAGCAAAGGAGGAAAAGCGAGAGGACACTTTACCTCACAGTCCTGGATCTTGGCAGCCCACCAATGAAGATTGGGTCCTTATCAGAGCGGTTCAGGTCTGAGGCAACCCCAGGAGATTCTCCTTGCTTGGTTTCTTTATAATTAAGGTTATATGCATCCATGACCGCCAAAATCCCTGCAAAGAGAGTAAAGATCTGGAGAAGGACACGAATCCGCAGTCTGACACAAAGAGCAGGCGGCTGCTGTAGCAGCTGCTGTCGTGGAAATCACCCATAGACAGGAAAAACAGAAGCTTGCCTCTGATCTGAATTGCAGTGTCAGACCTGCCAGTGAAAAGCACCATATTAGAGTTTGAAGGCAAAGGACAGGTATTCTGTGGTATACATGGCCATAAACAAGGCTTCAGACTTCACGGATTTTCACTAATTTCAGTGGAGTTAGCAGAGTTTGTTAAAGTCTTTCCCTCTTACTTACAAGGTCTTAGCAAGTCTTTCCCTCTTACTTACAAGAGTCTTAGCAAAGGAGGAAAAGCGAGAGGACACTTTACCTCACAGTCCTGGATCTTGGCAGCCCACCAATGAAGATTGGGTCCTTATCAGAGCGGTTCAGGTCTGAGGCAACCCCAGGAGATTCTCCTTGCTTGGTTTCTTTATAATTAAGGTTATATGCATCCATGACCGCCAAAATCCCTGCAAAGAGAGTAAAGATCTGGAGAAGGACACGAATACACATTCTTCCATTTTGGCAATCTTGCCTCTAATAAAGGAAAATGTATTCATTGACTCAAACATGTATGGACAACCTTCTTATTTTTAGAATGAGTAATTTATTGTACTTCCAGCTATTCTGTTAATCTCATTCATTCTTCTCTGACAAAACCAAATCTGGGGAATTCTACAGGAAAAAATATGTATGTTATAGTTATTAACACGTATTATTTATAATGCATTACTTCCCAAACTTAGGCCCCAAATATTGTAGTACTAGGTACTATTAAAATGCAGAACAGAAAACACGATGCCTGATATACAGATTTGGAAAAAGATCTTTCACTCTTTAAAGACTATTGATATGCTTTTGGCAGCTTCTGCACTACCTGCTCATTATAAGTTGTGCCAAACCAAGCACAAGATTTACACTGCTGTCCTTCTAAAAGCAAAGTAACATAGGTGTGGCTGCTAAAGAAACTGCATTGGAAGTGACCAAATTTGGTTGCAGTGATGTTCCCTGTGGCTATCTTAGATATCTGTATTTGTAAATGTGCAGACACCTGTTTTTTTCAGCCTGTAGCCTACCTTGTTTCTTGTTCCGACTGAATGAAATTTTATACCATGTTCCATTGTTGTAACGATTTTCTGTTGTAAGAGCAAGAGGTCCTGAACCTAGATCAACAGTCAGTCTCACTTTGCCATCAACAAGCTCAAGGGACAAGAAATCTCTCTGGGAGGAAAAAAAAACAAAACAAAACAAAACACAAAAAAACCCAACAGATTAAATTCCTGGAAATAAAATCTTCCAAAAGGATGTATCCTTGGCAGGTTTGGGCTACTGTGTTAAAAAGGTTTGCTAACTCTTGTACCTAGACTATTTGTTAGGCCCAAGGCACTTACCTTTGCTATGCTTAGGAAAATTAAGTTAGATGTACCTCACAAGTATGTCGTTTTGTTTTGTTGTTATTCTTACTTAAATGCATCATCAGGCTTGATTACTCAGCAAAGGAAAGTTTAAATAAATGTCACATTTGCTTTTTTTTTTTTTGATTAAGTTGATAGTAGTTTGATTTGACTGTTAGCATAACGATCAAACACTACAACGTTCTTTCTGCAAGAAGCAAAGAGCTTCTTCACACAGTAAAAAAAGACTTTCTGAATTGTATTAAATGTGCCCACTTTGCACTGTAAAACTTAAGTCAGGTATCATTGTGCAATGTATGCAGGCAGTGAGTACATAACAAAGCAAATGAATAATGCAGTGACTCTGAAACAATCTGTATCTAAACAAAGCTTTGTCCTCCTTCAGGAAAAGAAAACCAGCAGCTAAGTATGCAGTAAACTGCATGACATGACAATAAAGGTCTGGAGATGGGTCTAGGTGGTATTGCTGTTGCAGGGAGATTTATTTAATTTATTTCAGTTTACTGAATTCCCATCTTATGGATTTAATTCAATATGCCTATTCAATATTATATTGTCCTTCTGCAAGCTCAGTTCCAAAAGATTTTACATTCTGCAAAGGTTCCTCCAACTGAACAAAACTACTAGTTTGTTGTCCCTACTGTTTCTTTTTCTTACCTTTAATTAAATAATCATTAATTTTGGTCTAGAATTAAAACAGATTATGGAGAATTCTTTTCATTGCTTAATTTTGTGAATATTTGCTCTAAAGAGTTATCGCTAGGGTTCCTGACTTTACTCCTTTGGCTTATGATGTCAATCACAGGTGATAATCTATACAAAGATAATAACTTGTTTTATATGTAAGCTGAAAAATAACAAAGAAGAAAGCAAGAAACCATCAAGTGAGCTAAACATAGTTTTTGACAGCTTAAGAATCTGATCCATTTTCTTACAGTGCCATTTGAAGCAAGATACAGAAGAAGCCCATTAGGTGAAAAGGTACTGAAAAATATTATTATCTGAGTCACTGTTGAGCGGAGTGCCTTCTCCACAACTGAGTATCCGCTGCCATCAAAATGGAATGAAGTGTCCTCATCCTGCGGGCTACAGAAGTAGAAAACAGTTAAAAATGTTAACTGAAGACTTGTGGTTTTCCAGTCATTTTTATATAAAATATAAGAAAAGTTAGATCAGTTGGTGCAGCCACCAGGCAGTATGATTAGAAAGTGTGGAAAGAGACTTGAATCTTGATATTATGAATAACTGAAGGATTCCAGCCAAAGGCCACTTTCATTATAGAATCTTATAATACATGATTTAGCCATGGGGAAGGATGCATACAAGATAAAAACTGTTCTTCCCTGATGTATGAAAAAAACCCAACAATTTCTTAAGGGAAAAAATAATTGTTACAGCATACACCCTCTTACTTAAAACGTGTCATCCATTTATCAAAATGCTTTGCATAATTGCACTTACAACAAATGTTCCCTTAGCCCCTTTCCCTGCAATATAATACTTGTAAAAAATATCTCATACAAGCAAGCAGCACCCTCTGCTGTTTCTACAGGAAACATTCTGCAAAAGGGCATATGGTCAAGCGTATTTCTTTTCAATTCCTTAAACGTAAGTACAGTCTGCAATCCCCTTTCACAACGATTACAAGAATGGTAGCAAGCTCAGTGGCTACAGTTTTGCTATGGATTTTTTTAATGAGAGTGCTTTACACTGTTTCTTATCCTAAGAAAGAATAAATTTGTCTTACTGGAAAGCAAACATTCCAAAATAGTTTGGTTCACTGGCAGTCCCTACTTTCAACGCACAAAATAGACCACAGCAATAGAGCTCCTCTGAAAAAGTGATTAATAAGTGATAAAATTCCATACAATTAAATTATTTGACAACACTGGCACATTCAGGTTAGTGTGTTCAGAACTGTAAGTTAATGATCAAACACTGCAATTTGTCTGAGTTCATTATTTTTAGCTAGCACAGGAATACATATTACAGATATAAATTACTCTAAATCTGTTACAAAAGAGAGCGAGACAAAATACCTTCCAAAACAGCCATTGCACTTGCCCTCTCTTTCCATATAGTTCCAAAGACCGATAGATTTGCCATTCAGGGATGCCTCTCCCATGCACCCTTTAAAATGGGTCACCTTAACAGCAGGCGATTTCTATAAGACAAGAAATATTTCATGAATACAATTAACATTAAGTACTCTGAAAATTATGCAGCCAAATTTTTGCTGGTTGTCTTCCTTGAACTCTAACTTTGTTAGATATAAATCATAATAAAAGAACAACATGTTTTAGCAAAACTGTTAACAAGTATCATTTAAATCATAATAGATTAGTTTTGCAGCAAGGAAAAAAGTAAAATAATTATGTCCTTGACCTACTTACATGCCTCATAGCATGAATAACAATGGCAAACTAAAAGAAGCCATGGAAGAAGGAAACGAAAAACAATGCATTGTGTAATGTCTACGCATCATGCATCCACACATGGCCTGTCCTGGTTAACAGTTTATGCAAAGATTTCCAGGGAAAATTGACTTCAGGATACTAGAACATCCTTATAGCATTTTTGCTTTATGTTCAGAGTACCTGGCATTTCTTGATGAAGTAACCAATTCATGCAATTATTTCTAAGTCAAAAGTATATCTCAAACATGATAAAAACATTTTACAGAATGCTGATCTCAGAATTTAACCTTGATTTGCCCTCCAAGTCCTCCGATAAACATTAGGGTTGATTTGTTAACATCTAGTATGCTGGCTGTCCCTGGAGAGGTTGCAGATTTAGATGAAGGCTTCTGATTGGAGTTCATTTCCTCTATGCTGAGTGTGCCTGTTTTTCCAAACCTGCCAAGTACAAATACTAATGAATAGTTTTAGAAATCACCAGGCTTAATCAACACATGCTATTGGCTTATCTTTTTAAGGACAAGGAAAATCTTGTCACTGGAAAACTCGGAAGATGGTTTGTGTTGTTTATGCCAAGTTCACTCACTAAGTAGCTGGACATTTCTACAATACAGCCATCTCAATAAAAAAATAATACTAATCAATTTTCCTATCCACCATTTATGCCATTCTCATCTTAATTACCTGGTTGCATGTATTCTGTGCCATTTGTTGTTGTCAATTTGAAAATCAGGGTATTCCACTCTTGTTGATCCAGAGCCCAAATCCCAAAGAAGAGCTACCTTACCACGTCGCATCTCCACAGCAAGGAAGTCTGTCTGAAAAACAGCAGGGCTTATTCTAATACATGTCATTGAACGTGTAGTTTCTGTTTTGTGTATTTTAACATGTAACACTGAGAAAGTCTTTCCAGATTCATGTCCCTACATCCTATATTATGGGAGTTGACTTTTAGCAAAATCAGGCCCAGTAAGTTTTTACTCATTTTTAATATTAATGAAACCAAAAAACTCAGCTTATATACAAGTAGGTCAATGTTTTCTTTATAGATATATAAAAACGTGTGATGTACACACACGTAGACATATAGAAATATGCACTTCTGAGTGTACATGATGTGACCTACCAGTCTGTGAAAAAGTACTGTCACATGAAAGCATGCCACAAGGAGCTAGCAGCTGTGCATTTATTAGGACTACAGAGGGAAGGAAGAGGAGGGCAATGTGACAGTGAGCCATCATGCTCCTTTTCAAGTGGGTGGATGCACCATGCTCATGAGGGCCAAATTCAAGTACTTTCTCTGTGATACCAGGCAAATTGCTTGATATAGTCCAGCATGCTATATGAAAGCACCACATAGAGTGTTACACTCCATGAGGTTAATGCACAGCATGGGAAAAGGAAGGGGGAGCTTCATGACATGGCCAAGAGGCAATGCTAAGGAATCAGGTGCTTTTATTCTTTACCTTTGAGGATCTCTGGAATCATCTAAGGCACAAAAATATTTCCACCCCTAGTCAACACATTTGTCTGCAAGGTGCCTCACTTGGATACTTAGTTTGAAGTCAAGTAGGAAAAAACATATATATGGTCATTTAAAACATTTGACTACCATCACCTTCAGTAAACGTATGCCAGAAACTTACCTTTCCATTGCTACCCAGGTAGAAAAGGAGGTTATCTGGTTCAGCAGTTTTCACATTGAGTGTTAAGGTGTTGTAATTTGTAGATGAAATTTGGGGTTGGTAGGCACGAATGCAATCTCTGTCTGCTGATACTGCAACTTTAATCTGGGATTGTGTGAGGGGGATGGGGGGAGAAAGGAGGAAATGGAATCTAAGCAAGTATCAGTGTACACAGCACATATTTCTGGAATAGGTATTTAGCCTGTGACCAACAAATGCAAGCCATTTGCTGAGATACTTTCATGCAATCTAAGTATTGCTACCTGTTAGATCTTTTAGCAATCTCCTAGATATAACTTGACAAAGAGATTCACAAATAGAAAAGAATGACATCTGTCATAATTCACTCATTCAATTAGGAGATTTGAAGCCAATAAATTAAACTATTCAAATCCCTCAGAAAATAACAATAAATCTTGGGTCAGAAGCCCATATCAGTAAAAGCCACTGTAATAATATCAGAAAAAGAAACAGAAATTCAAAACCTTTAAAAAAAAAAAAAAGGAAACATAATTCTAGTCTATGTTGACAGAAAATTTTTTTTTTTTAAATTTAAAAGGCAGACAGTCTGCAATAATTCTGGTTATTTCAAAGTTTTACAACACAGTTTACATGATTATTCAAAAAATACATTTGTGCATATATTACAAGTTAAACTTTTTTAAGATGAAGTAGAGAAATTAATATTCCTGTTGTCATACCACTAACTCCTTTGAACGCAGTCTAGAATACTAGATAGGCCATCAATTCAAGCTAAATGCAGCCAAACTCCAAGGAGCTTGGTAGTGTAACGACAGAAAATCCATTTTAACAACAGAAAACCCTTAACTTCATCAAGTTCATTGAATATGCCTGTAACAACTAAATACATAAAGCACACATGTGCATACGCGTATGGACACAGATACATAGTTTCTCTCTAGTAAAAGTTTACAAAACAACAGAACAAACTCTCAAAACTGGAAAAGGGGATTTTGCTAATACTTCTTTTCACCCTGCCAGGAACCTCTGTGGTTTATGACATTTCAGAAAATACTACTCCCTCTTTTCTGCAGTGGATTCATTAAGCTTCAATAGACTGTGACAGGGAAGCAATAACCATATAATTAAGGAGATTTGCAGAAAGAACTGAAAGTCTTTTATTTTTTAAAACAAAACCTCCCTAAACCTTACAATAACATACCCATACTAAAGCCAAAGGCATACCAAAAATTACTGAGTGCAAAGTCATTTTCATATTCCCCCTCATAGTTTAATGAGGTCCATAGTACAGTTGATTCACTTTTGTTGTCTTTAAGGGGGGTGCAGAGATTTAAAAACAAGTATCTTATTTGTCTTAAAGTATTCTGGATGCACGGCAGCTTCTTGCAAAGAAGAACATATGGACATGGCAGGGCACAGATGGCAAATTTATTGATAGAATCAACACTCTTGTTAAAAAATTTGTAATGATACTTGATGTTATATGGAGGAACCCCACATCAATCTCTAAAAAAAGCTTAAAAATTAACATCTTGTCCTACAAAGAATGGCAGCACCATCCCCTCACTTGTCTCTTTCTCACCAAAATACCTCTGTGATTGCTTTCTGACATATTGTATTTCATTATTTTTATAGCAAACAAAAGGAAATAGTAAATAAATTACTGCCTTGCTGTTCTGACAAACTCACAAATGCAATAAGAAACTTGAAGCTAAAACTAGAAAACGTACCAACAGCTCTGCCAGTACGATTTTAGCATCAGTCAGTGCTCTTGGACTTCAGTAAGACCCCTGAACAACCAGGTACTTTGACACTAAATTTTAGGCTTCTTATCTCAAAGAACTTCCCTGCTAAAAGCGAAAGTGAAGCCAGTTAAGTCTGGCATGATGGAACTTACAGATGCTGCCTGCTTGCGGGCCTGGCTGATGAGCTCTTTAATTTCAGACAGGTTTCTGTTCAGGTTCTCCTCTAGCATTTTCAAAGGTTTCAGCCTATCCAATAAAAGACTTGCTTGTGCTTCAACTTCTTTAACTTGTTTTTCAGCAGTAATTGCTGCCAAAACATAAATGAAATGTTGCGGCAGGTTGAAAGAGAAATGTACTGTTCATTGCTAAAATACTTAGCCAAGGTGGCCTGTTTCTGATCATTTTGTTTTCGGCAATTTTAAATATCAGAAAGAAATACGCATACTTAAGGGTATCCCACGTGACTCTTCTAAAGGTCTTTTTAAAAGTTAGCACGTTTTTATTGAATTAGGAAAAACTTTCAGTCCATCAGATTCATATTTAATGCCTATTAAAATTGACTATTAGTACTGCTTCTGCAAGCAGTGACATTTCTAAAGAGCAATGAAGCAGCAAACTTACCAGTTTTTGATGAATCAGTTATAAGTTCACTAGTTTTCCTCAATGTGTCATTAACTCGGGACAACGTAGAAGAAGTATTCAGCAGCTTTTGACTGAAATCCCCAAAGTGACTTAAACCCACCACAGCACTGGTGTTTGCAGACACAGCCAGCTCTTTCACCTCAAGCATGTATTTCCTTGTATCTGAAACACAGTTCCCAGGTTAAAAAATATTCACAGCTTTCATACATACTTGGGAGTAATAAAAGCCTGGCTTCATAACAACAGAGTTACAAACATAGTCAAAACACTAGAAATGCTGTCAGTTATGTTCCTTTCATAGTAAGAGTTATATTTTTTTTTGTTTGTATTCTTCAGTCTGTGAGGGGAGCTCCAAACCAAGACCTGCTGTGATCTCACTTTGCTTAACTGTTGAATGTGTCATGGCTTACAGAGTGGGAGGTTTACCTTCTGTGATATTGGAGTGCCAGGAGGCTGGTGCAACTCCTCTTGCCCAGTTATTAAGTTGGAAAATGGCCACAGCTATGGCCCTGAACAGAAAACACGGTAAATGTTCCCAAGCTGGTGATACAGATATGGATATAGCTATAGATGTAGTTACGTTTGTTCATACACACACACACAGAGGTATATAATAATAAAATATATTACAGACATATGTAAATAATAGATTTTGCCGCAATTTTAATTAAGGCTCATCAGTTTAGATTTTCAAGTCTTTTGATCAAAAGACTTGATTAATCCAAGTTTTGAATTCTAGGGAAAATGTTTTATTTTTCATAACCAGCTCTGAATACAGTACAGACACAGAATGCAGTGATGGGAAACTTGATTCTGCCTATCCCAACAGGAAGATTATATGAATACATCAGGCTCATAGCGTTTAAGTTCCCTAAATGAGTGTTGGTACCCGGAGTCACTAGTCTGAGACTTAGGTTTTGAATCCTACAGAAAGCTGGTGAGGCAGAAGGTCTGTCACACCCTTTGCTTTGGGCTACGATTACTCATACAGCGAGTGCACCACTCCCAACCTCAGCCTGCCCCTTACACCCCCTGTGCCCGGAATAGTGGGAAGATGCTGCAGCTGGCACGAAAGGCCTGATTTAAGTCTGCAGGGATCCTTCTTCACCACCAGCACCCTATACAGAGGGCAACGCCACACTGAATTAAAAAAAAGATTAAAAAAAATGAAAAAGAGAAACTTCAAGAAATGTAACAACAAAACGGAAATCAAACAATGTTAACCTGTGAGTTAAGGAGCACAGTCCTATGATTTTAATAATGCCTTAATTTTCAATGTGTAGCTTTATGTTAGATAGCATCCTGCAATTAATATCCAGTGTAACTTTACCACTAATATCACTCTTTAGTGTGAGTTAAGAGCCTGAGTTGTAAAATGGGTATTTTAAAGCTTTGGACTTAGCATTCTAATCTGGACATACAGTACCACCCAACAACCCAGGCAGGAGGTCTTTATGAGTATTTTTCTACCTCAAAAAAAACATTATTAAGGTTGGCAAAGTATTTCAGACCCTCTTATTCACAACTTCAAAGACATTTTCTCTATTAGTTTCCATGAACTCTAGGTCTTGCCTTTATCCAAAATAATGACTTTTTTTTTTTAAAGGGAATTCTTTTGTTTTGGAAAAGCAGAGAGAGAACTTTTTAATCAGTTGAACGAAGTCAGCATTTACATCAAGAAAACATTCAGATGCAGATGATAAGATTCACAGTGCAGTATAAACAATTTTGAAACAAGCTATCAAAAGAAAGCAAAACCTCACAGTTCCATATATAAGTTTCTCTCCATGTGGGATTAAATATTCTAGGATTTCACTCTCTTCTCATATCAGTGTAATTATATTGCTTTCAGAGCCCCTCCTGATTTACAGCAGTGCAAAATAGGAATCAGACTACAGACCTTACATGATAACCCAGTTATGTTTCATGGGTTTGCTAAAAAAATTGAAATATTCCTTGTAAGGGAGGAGGCTAAATGAGTCTCCAGTATAGTTTATTGCTAGGTCTCTGCAATCAGACAATGAACATGATTTTATTACAATTGTACTAGATAGTTCTGTAGTAAGGAGAATGTCAATATAAATTTCACTTACCATTAGGCAATGCTCTTAGTGTCAACAGGGAATCATTAAGCTGGTTAACAATTTTATTAGTACTTCCCTGAATCTTTTCTACCTTTTTGTTCAAGCCATTCAATCCAAATAAAAGGCCTGTTGGAAGAAATAACTATGATTTTTCCATGCATAAACAAATACCATACAACCCACACAAACCATATGTATAGGGATAACAAGCATTCACTTATTTAATCAATGGAACTTTTTTGTTTTTTTTCAACAGAAAGAGCATTTTACAAACAGGAATGCAAAATGAATGCAGTGTGCACAGATAAGCTCCTGTGGGCACTGTTCCATTCAAAGTTATCCTTTTGGCCAATTCCATCAGACTGAATTGGTAGAAACATAGTCAGGAAAAGGCTATAAATTAAAATGATTCCATGATTGTGAACTCTTATAATTTTTAAGATGTTCTTCACTTTTTATGATATCTGACAGGAGCCAAAGAAGTGTTTTTCTTTTATTTATTCATGACCTGTTTGCAGAATGCTCTCACTAGAAATAAAAATAGCTATAACAGAAGGAACAAAAAAGGTATGTATGCTGTCCATCTGAATTATGTAAAATGTATACATATTTGTAAAACCATTGATATTAAAAGCAAAGACCATTTTACAGTTACAGTTTATCTCTGTGAAACATTTACTTTCTGTCAAATTTTGTCCAAAATTTCCCTTAGGGTCAGCCTCTGCTCCTACACAAAGTCTGTGTTCAAAATGCTTTTGAACTTCCACGGTGCAGACTTCAATGCCTTGCTGATATCTTTGGAGTAATAAAAAAACAAAACGATTTTGGAATTTATAGAGTACTTTTTTGTCTGTACTTTGTACAGACAAAAAAAGTTCAGCTTGTTACTGTATTTAGGCTGTATAGAATGAACAAGTAAAAATGATTATTATTTAAATATCTCATCCTACATACTTGTGTAATCCACAATTTATTAGATAAAATTGGATTAATGGATTTCTTCAAGAATTATGTTTGTTCTTTGTCTACTGCACAATCCCTAATAATTTAATTCATAACATTTGGAAAAACAGCCATTTAAAGAAAGCATTGCTTGGAGGTAAATGAGGTATAGTGAAGGCCAATTTTTTAAATGTTTACAGAGAAAATTTATATTCTCACCCAAAAAAGTAAAATACTACATAAGTCCATAATAATCTTAATTGTATGAAAATATGTATATAGTCATATATAGTTATATGCAGTATTCTACCTTACCTTATGCTCATTTTAAAAAAGAGGAACACACACACAAAAAACACATTCAAAAAAAAAACATAAAATGGGATATAGAAAAAGAAATAGAACCAGAAATGTGAACTCTAAAGAACTTATCATCACTTTTTTTCTTCAGATTTTTAGCTTCATTCTGAAATTTGAAGCTAAGCAGTAGAGTTTCTTTTCCAAGAAGATGGAGAGACTCCTCTGGCTGAAAAACACAGGCATCAGTTGCCACATATGAAAAACAAATTCAGCTGAAAACATTTAAGTATCTGTAGATGTCTACTTCAAGTTACTGAACATTCTCGTCATTTATGAGATATTCTATTCATTACCTTATTAAGCATCAATTAAAAAAAATACAAGTTGCAATCACTTGTCCAAGAATGTGACATTGAATCTCTTTGTGAGTTAATAAAAAAAGATGACTGTGAAACAAAACCTACCAAATTCTAGTTTGAACATTGCTACTGATTCAGTGTTGCTTTTTGGAACATCAGTAATTCTAGTTCCAGGCCTAAGTCAAAATTCCCAGCACTGAGCACTTTACAGTGAGATAACTCAAAATCCCAGTCTTTAAAGTGTTCTTTTAATCCATTTCTCCAACTGGAAAATATGGAAAAGTATCTTGAAGGATTCATGCTGTACAAACCTTTAATAAGACAGAGTGCTATAAAATAACATACAAACTCACAAAACAATGCCAACTATTTTGATCACTATCATGTAAATGCATTGTCACGTACATATTTGTTTCTCCAGGCATATGTGCATGACACTTGTAAAACATAGCCCATTCCTTCCTTGGGTTTACAATCAAAAAAAGCAGAAAGAGATAGAAGGGAGGAAATAGAATAATATGAAAGTAATAAGGTCAGACTGGTAACTGCTCAGGTCTTTTTAATCTACCATTTCAATAACAATCTAATAATCTTGCAAGGCAGAGGGATAGCAGATGAGACACAAACGTACATTTAGTTATGAAACATCCTCGGCTAAGCAAAATAGTTGTGGTTGGGAATACCTTGCTAGAAATGGAAGAGGGACAGGTCAAATAAGGGGATGGTTGAATAATTCCAAAGGTGGAAGGGAGCGAAGTTCTACAGGAATGCATGCCAGATGACGCATATAAACACCTATAGAATCAAGTCCAGTCCAGCTAACCATGCATTAGACATTAAAAAAAAAACAAACAAAAAAATGGTAAAATGGTACTGTGGCAGAGAGAAAAGCAAGGTAAACAGACCATGAAATCTGGTACCATTACTGTCTTGGAGTACAGATTGAGGATACAGTATATACTAGTTGGTAGGACAGGCTGCCATACAAGCCCCCATCAAGAAGACTCAAATTTCAGCAAGTGCAAAAACAATTAGAACAAATATTCCAAAATAAGAAAGGGAAAGACGTTAATTAAAATACTAATATTGATACTTACTAAATCCAAAGGGCCATTCACAACTCTAGATGCATCATCTGCCAAACTCTCTGTTCTTTCAATCACACTTTTAACACTGGAGTGGGTGTAGACAGCAGCAGTTGTGTTGAGAGTCACATTTCTTACTTTAGAGAGGCCACTAAACGGAGAATTAACAAGTAATTCTATTTTCATTAGAGTATCTTAATAAAGCACTAAGTTCCATGTCTTCTGATACAATATGCACATCTTTCTAGAATACATGAAGCACTCTGAAAAAAATGAGCACACCTTGCCCTATGTTGCATAAGGGGCTTTAAGTTCACTAGAACTGAAAAAAAAAATTACTGAAAAAATTTTTTTTTTTTTTTTTTTTTTTTCAAAAAATCTATTTTTTTTCTATTTTGTTCCTTTTTGTTTATGGTCAGTTTTTCAGTTTATAAAGCCAATTAGTCACTTAGAACAAATCACATCGCCTAAACAGAACAGAACAGAAACAGGTTCCTAGCTGGAGCTCAAAAGCAAAGTAGAGAAATACAGAATCTAGGAGGAAATTATAGGCATCTGAAAGCTATTCTGTATCAAATTTTGCTTTATTGAATTTATGTGGCTGCAGTGAAGTCAGCAGAGTTGCTCAAGTGTTACTCAGAGCAAAATTTTCTGTTCTCAAACTTAAAATACGTGTACATTTTCCAGTCTGATATGATTTAACTTTTAACACGTAGCTGCTGACTTTAAAAGACAAAACAGCAAGAATCCTAGAAGGATTCTTGGGATAGAAGATTAATTTCCATTGAATTAACAGGAATGACTTCCCAACTTTCAAATTCTAAGAGTGCATTTGAGTGGATTTAAGATTGCAACCCACTCATTTCTGCAAGATGCTTTGAAAGCAACAATAATGGAGGCATAGTAGGAATAGCTTCTTGATGAGATTCAGAGATATATTGTCAAGAAGTATTCATACACAGACCAGAAGCTTTTCAAGCCACACCATGATATACTCACTGGGCATTTAATAATTCACTAGTTACCGTGTAAGTCAGCCACATAAAATGTGAAACTAATCAACCCCCTCCATATCATTTAATAGAGGTACACTGCATTAAAAGTAAAAAGCACTTGAAATAAAATGGGGAATAAAAATGGATCATAGAATGGTTTGGGTTGGAAGGGACCTTTAAAGATCATCTAGTCCAACTCCCCTGCCATGGGCAGGGATTTACTTTAGTGGATTAAGCTACTACCTATTTAAATTAAATCTGACACTACTGTAAATCTCTCCCAATATTGTATGTCTTGAGTTTATCACCTCTCTAGTGCATCTGCAAGTCTTTGGAACTGGGTGGCATGGTCCTCAGCTCTGTATACCAGGTCAAGCACTCCTCTCACAGACATCTGCATCACCAGCTCATCCACGTGGTGTCGCAGTTTGGTGCTCCATAGGACTAACCCATCCTGGTGGACCTCCAGGTTCTGCACAACAAAATTGTTTCCTCTTTTTTTTCAGTAGCAAAATACACCTGATAGTGTCAAAGAGGATGTTAAAACTTAAGAACTTACAGATGTAGAATTCTTTACATCTTGGGCAAGAGCAGCAGCAGCGTTCACTAGGACCTTCCCTTCTTTAATGAGCATGGTCGAGACTTCTTCACCTTCCTTTATATTTAGCTTTTTGTCCTATAGCATAAATCAAGTGTTTTATAGTAGTCTGTAAAGTCAGCTAGTGCAGATGAGTTCACATAACACAAAATCATTTTTTGGTTTTCAATCAGGGGTCTGGTTTTCTTTGAGTTTTTAAGGTATCACATATATTAACATGTTTAAACATGTTCAATTTTATTAAAGTCTAAAAAGCAGCTTTTAAACACAGGATCTTATTTCTTATGCAACAACACTGATTGTCCAGTCTTACATTTAACTCTGCCAGGTTGCTAGAGATAAGAGGAAACAAGCGATTGGTCTCATTGATGTTAGCGAGTGCCTCATTCACCAGGTCCTGGGCATCTTGCAGTCTGCTGTTGTGCTTTGATAAGAGCTGGCTTGCATCCTTTTTTAGTTCAGCAAGCTCCTGGTGGGGTTTAAGATACTCTTTCTGAACATGGCTCAACAAATTTTCTGCAGCTCTGACAAAGAGAGGAATCAGAAAATAAATAAACGGTGAAGGAGAAACTTAGTCATGGATTTCTTGAGGAGAAAACAGGGTCATGTGAAATTAATTTAATAAATGCATCTTAGAAAAGTTTGCAATTTTTTGCTATAATGGCATACATACACATGGTAGCTTAGTTACTTGTCTTACCACACAAAAAGATAACTGCATGGGGGAGAGGGCAGTAATACAGTTCATAAACTTTGTATGTGGTGACTAGAGGGGAAAGGGGTTAGTATAAATCACATTTGCTTGGACTTAATTTGGGACATCCCCCACATCAAAATCTCTGTGAAACATTCCTCTGGGACTGCTCTATATCTTAATTGTAGTGATTCATATTTTGAATGTAGGATCAAAACATCCATTATGAAGATTGACACTGGAAAGAAACAAGTAACCAGAACTGAAAGACATATACCTAAGAGTCCTGAAAAGTTTAAATATCAAATAAATAGCCTCATTAAAATGAATACTGAAATGAGCAATCTCTGCACTTACCTTTTTTACTCAGTAACAGACATTATCTGGGAAATATCAAATCCCCCCAAATTTGTCAGTTGTTAATTGCTTCAGCTGTTCTATTTGGGAGTATTTGCACCTCCATTTGAATACTTTCCAGTATTGAAGGAATTGAACTGAAAATAATCCTGAAAATCTATTCCTTTGTTTCTCTTCATTTTAGCACATACACTGCACACTGCAACTCTTGTAATGATACATTTACATAAATGTTTGTCCCCTTTAATCTGATTTCAAATCATATAGATCTTTAGCCAAAGCAAAAGAAACCTAGTTTATTTCACAATTATACACAGAAAAACACATTCTATCTTTCTTATTGAATAGCAGATGTGCATTTGCATGTATTTCCTAAACCTAATAACTCAAAGTCCTTACGCTCAGAAGCCATAGCCTTAAAAAAGTTACAAGAATGAAAGTATTTTACAAGACAGTAATGGCTTCTATTTCAGTGAAGAGTAAAAAGGTTATATTCCAAATTGTTTGGGAGCTTTGCCTTACGTGGCAAATGTGCAGAGACCTCAGTTAAGAATGTTGCTTAACAGTATGTCATCACAAGCTCAGTCCACTGTGAGCCATGTGGTAACTTCTGCTCCCTGAAAAATGGACTGGCAAGCTGGTTATTTAAATCAGTTTCAAACTTACAGCTGCATTGCATGATAAATTCTGCAGAGCAAACAATCTTACAAATCGCACTAACTCTCTGTCAAAGGACACTTATCAGAGAACTTTCAGAAATTTCAACAGAGCCTATAATTGAAAAAGTTAATTTACAAATGCCTTGTATAACAGCTCAAAAGCTGATGTTGAAAGTCAGAACATTCTGTTACTATGCAACAGGACATTTTGAGACATTTTGTAAGTGCAAAAAAAGCTATTTGAAGTTCCTAGTAAATATAAGAATAAATGGTATATTTCTAGTCCATTTTCATGGCCATTTAGCTTCTATACAATTTAATATTCAGCACAAGGACAAGCACAGGAGTCTGTTGAGCAAAATCAGACATGCTATCAACACAAACATTCTATCCTGCCTAATCCAAAGCACTTAAAGAAAAATCAAATTTTCAGAAATATTCCACTCTGGTCTAAATCTTTGTCCCTTGAAGCCAATGTTAACATTCTTACAGCCTGTGGTGGGCTAGGGCAATACTTAGTAGTTCTGAAACTGGAACAAAAATTTTGCTGACTGTTGGAACAGTCAATGTTTTATACTGCCAAGTCTGGTAATAAGCACTAACAATGAATACAAAAGCCATTTTAAAATAGCCTTTAAATGGGGACAAATCAAGACAACGGAATACAATCCTAAACAGTGGTTCAGAATGCTGAAACAAATGCCTTGGTTTCATTTGCAAATCTATGTGATACATATTCCAGTGACAATAAATTGTCATGTCCTTCAGCAGACCTGACATGTCCTGGGCTTGCAATTGACTGAGACAGTTCTATGATGTCTCGTAGCCAAAAGCAACAAGGAGACGTGTATTAGGGCCAGATCTGAAACAAACTGAAACCAGTTAGTCTTTTCACTTATTGCAAGGGAATTTTGTATCACATCCAAATGAACAGGCTTTGGCTATATTAGTATCACGTGGGATGCCCAAATATCTTTAAATCTTGTAACTCCAAATTCAGAGTTCATATAGCTCCACCTGGGCTAGTTATCCATCACACTGCCTCTTATTATGGCACAATGTTTCTCCAGATATCTCTTCAAAAAGCAGTATTGCATAGTATAGACATAAGCGAAATAAAGTTTTCAGTAGAACAGGCTTACTTTAGGACACTGGTAGCATTATGATGCTGTTGAACAAAATCTTTCTTGCGCAGTGCATCCAAAAGGGCAGAAATATCATCCTGCAGGCTCTGAGATGTAGCATTTGACAGCGGGAGATCCAGGCCCAGTGTTTCATTTAGTGACATAGCAACTTCAGCAAGTACTAAGTAGGAGAGTAAACAATTTAGTGATACCATTAAAAAAAGAATATATGTGAACTGCCTGTGCAAACTGCAGCACTTTCCATGTAAACATTTCTTTAAGAGTTGCAAAGGAAATACCCTTCTAAATTCTGTAAAGAAGTGGAAATATCTTAAAAGGAGGATACCTTTGATGGTTGTATGTACTGTGTCAATAAATCCAGTCAGTTCTTGACTTTTATTCCTGGTTTCGAGAGTCATTGTGTTAAGCTGCCAAGCTTTTTTCAAAAATCTAGACGACTAGAATAAAATCAGAGATAATCTTTGACAGGTCTCCTAAAACACTGATTAATTCATGACATTTGTCTATGGTTTTTACACTTTTTTCCCCAATATCGAGAATACTTAGTGAGAGGAAACAATGGGTTTTGATAAGGTGGACCTAGCTGATTCATAAATCTCTGATGCTTCCAGGCTTGCAGATGCCTTGATTATATTGAAAGTTCCAGCCTCTGATATCAGTGAAGAATTGTGTTATCAATTAGTTTCATAATCAGTAAGATCATAATTACCAAAGCTATTTCTTTAACAAAGTAAACATTACATATTTTTTTAGCTACAACTAATATATCTTAAGAAAATCACTCTTCTGGATACACAACTATTAGCAATAACAACACTGTCAGTGCAAGCACCTAGTTAGATTATGTATACATGGTCAGCAAATGAGATCTAATGGCTGAAGTACTATTGTCAATTTTCTACCTACATTTTTTCTTGTGTTAAAACTGAATAAAGAATACAAATGTTGTCTACTTTTCATGTGGATTTGCAACAGGTTTATTTCTACTGAGATCATTTTAAACACAGTACTATAGTTATCAAAGGCTTTTTGGTGAATATTCAGCTATGACATAATTTTGAATAAGCTCCATGTTAAAACCAGTGAAAAGAAAGTATCTCCCTTTCTCCAGTTTTAGGGCCTTAACTGATCGCAGTACAAAAAGCTTCTGAACTTTAACAGAAACCATGTAAATCTCCTGTACAATATCATAAAACACTGTAGTTTGCAGCAGAATTCCACAGACCAATTAACTCCCTTCCTCAGAAAGACTACAGAGTGGACTGAATTCTTTCACTGAACTCTATAGATTTAAAATAATTTCTAAACAGCTCTCTGATATTTATGTACTATGCTGTGAAATCTCAAAGGATTTCTCCAGAAAGGCTAAGAATAAAGAGGCCAGCACCTACCTCTTCATGCAGCTGATCAGTTCCTCCTGATAAACTCAGAAGACTTTCTTTTGCTGTAGCTAATGAGTAAATTGGATCTTCTCTAGGAACTATAGACTCCTATAAGAAACAAGAAGAAACAGTATACTGTAATTTGAAGACTTTGTTGTACGTCCAGAAAAGTTCTGGGAAGAAAATAACTATGCACACTATTTAGATTATTTGTTTTAAATTACTGATTTGCAAAGCACATAAGATGACATAAAATAATTACATACATACAGTTCATGCAACAAAGTGTGTCATTTCTTCAAATAAGGAAACAAGGATCCAGCCATGTCGTACTTTCAATCGAGTAGTAAGAAGGAAGCATAATTTCTGCTTTCCTAATTCTCACTTTCACCACGGTCTGAGCTGCCCAAATAAGCTACTTTGAGAAGTTCCAAGGCCCATCAAATTGAATGCTTCCATCCAGTCCCACAGCTGCTACTGTTTCGGCAGCTGGTCTTGTCAAAACAGCTGCATCTAGGGTATATCTATGAAGATGACCCTGGTCTTGTCAAAACAGCTGCATCTAGGGTATATCTATGAAGATGACCCTGGAGAGCTCTATGTTTCCATGTCAAAACCCAGTGCATGGCACTCAGGAGTTCGGGACTTTGGTCCTCCAGACATGATAAGGTAACACAAGCAGCCCTGCGGATCCTCTCAGCAGTAAGAGAGAATAAGAGGCTGTATTTGGCTTCAAGGTCACTTCAAAACTGCTCTATATGGCAATAAATAGGCCATAGTACCCAAGTGTATCATATTTGATACAGTCAAGGCCTGCAACAGAATACCACTTCTCTAAAGATGCAAAGAAACTTTAAGGTATCTCTTACAAAGAGAGTAAGTCTGGGAAAGGTTATTTTTAGATTTCAGATGTTTCAGAGCCAACCATTGTAAATACCATAATAAGTATCATTTTGTCCAACTTTTTAAAGAAGTAATACACAGGATTATCCAACAGCCTTGTGTCAAATGGAAACTTCAAAGTCTTTTCCTCAGCATGAGGAAAGAACAAGTGAAAAAGAAACAGAAGCTGAAGCTCTTGAGCCTCCTGGGATAAAGCACAGCAAGTTTTCTTTAAAAGCCCAGTTCAAAAACCCAGAATGGGACAGCAAGTATGTCTAGGTATGTCAGGAGGAGTAAAGCAGGAGGCTTCAACTAGAAAAACAGAACTACTGAAGTCTTCAGATGGACTGGAGATGCAGACGCAATGAGGAGTAAATGATCTCATTTGGTAACTTTCTCATTATTGAAAGACCCACACCTAATGCATAGAAAAGAGGAAATACTCAAGTTCCTGAGCAACCAGCATGAGGCAAAGACACAATACAGTGCAGGGGACAGCCCTTCAGGGAAGATCTGTAATTCACATAAATAAACTTGGGGATTTTCTGGCTTCCAGCTACAGTTACTTTGGTACAAGGCAAAAGGGAAGGTAATCTTTGATTAGCCAGAAAGAGGGGAATACCTGCTTCCAAACAGAGAAAAATTACAAGACTACCAACTTACCCTCAAGATTAAGTTGTTTAAAGAACACTGTGGCTTTACATAAAACAGAAATGACACCATAGTCACAAGAGGTTTTGTATCACTTTTAGCACCCCACTTCCAAGAGAGTGACAGATGGCTTTGATTTGATTTTAATATAAAAAAAGTGTAGGTACTAAAGGAGAAACTTAAACTGCTTTTATTTTTACGTAAGATTTGACTTTGGTTTATAATTAAAGTGCTAAATAAAAGCTACATATTGAATAATGTTTATTGTCCCAGATGATGATGCTCCTATACAAACACAGAACAATTACAGAAAGCAAGTCAATTGTATCCTTAAAGTATCACAATAATTCAGTATGTTTATGCCTTATGACATAAGGGAAGGGAAGCATAACTGAAGCTTTATAACTAAAAGGTTAGCAATTAAAACTAAAGGATAAGAGTACCTCTGCTGAAGCATAAACATGTAATTTAATCAAGTTTGCCTTCAGATATTGTAATTATTAACATTTTGAAGTACATTGATTGGAATTCAGTCTGCCTTACATCTTAAATAGAAGAAATTTTAATTCAAACTCTTAATTTGCCAAATTCAGCAGCACAAGAAGGCTCACATTATTTTTATTTTGTTATGATATGGCGGAATACAAAGAAGATAGCTTTGTTTCTGTCTTAGAGCTTGTCTTGCTTGACTTATTGCTGAGCAGACTCTTATGAATAAATGTGCGTATTTTAGTGGTCATGAAGTAGGGAGGATTCTGTTTATCTCTGGCTTTATGCAGAGACCACATGAACTTAGTCCTCAGCAACAATAAATGACCTTCTAGAACCACAAAATGTGGTATTTCATGCTTTGTTTAAGGGGGAGAGGAGCTGGAAGTTTGCCACAGGCAGCCTGAAAGTGTCCAACACTGAAACATTCCGCCTGGCTTTTGTGTCCTGAGATGGAGGACAGAGTGAGGCACTTGGACTGCCACACAACCAAAAGGAAAGCAAACGGCTGTATCCCAGGCAGCCTGGCTAATGGAGAAGCAGCCTACCACTCTAGGGGAGGACTCTAGGGGAACAGCCTCGAGATATATGACTTGGCAGCTCTCTAGCAAAGGGAGCAAAAAGGGAAAAGACCTGGCCTGATGTTTCTATTTCACTGCTGAAAATTATTCTCCTTGCTTTCAGTAGGTCAGAGCCAGGCTTAGGGATGCACATAATCTAGGTGAAGCACATCCATATAGCACATTCAATAATTGCAGTGCTGATTGAAAAATATATTCGTCCATTTATTTAAACGCTAGTACAACAAGTGAAAAGAAAGTAACACAGGCAGCTAAATAACTTAAGGTATATTTCTATATCAAACATAGTGGTCTTAATCTGGTATCACTTACACATACACACATTCAAGCCATGAACTTCAGGAGGTCTTCTGTTAAATTACTGGCACACATGAGTGGCTGCAAGTTTTGCTTTAAAGATGTGACTAAGTATTTCTACTATTTGTGCGTTCATTTTACCTTCAAATGTTTTGTCGCATTCTCCAACTCTGACAATATCCCATAGGGCGCACGGGCAACACCAGTGAGGTTCATTGAAAGTATGGCCTTGTTGAGATCATCCAAACTATTTAACAAAACTCCTGTGCAGTTGTCATCACAAGCTAAATAAACCATTTTAAGAGGAGGAAGCAATATTAGTATTAAAAAGAAGAAGCCACCAAATACTGAAATTAATTTTGATTTACACAGTATGCGCCTTCACCTTTTGAGTTAAGAGTGATTAAGTATAATAATTTTGAGTATACAGATTTGTAGTATTACCCTCCCCTTCCGGCCCCAAGAGTGGACCTATTCCAAAATACTCTCCTTAGGTTAGCACACATTCAAGCCTTATTGATCCTCCTGGATATTGAGCTGCTTGCTGTATTATAAGCTTTATTGAGCCTATTTAGCTATATTGCTATAAGTCCAGGGTGACGCCACTGATGCTCACCCAAGCAGGTTAGGAAGACAGGAAATTCAAGCCTATAGTGGTGTAATTCCATTTATTCCTTGGGTTTGGGTTTTTTTTTTACTTATACAAAGCAAAATCTGAGTCCTAAATCCCAATTCATTGTAAAAGCAGATTACTGTACTTCTGTCTCTTTCTGCTATCCACCCTCTCATAAGGAATTACGTGACTAATTATTGGTGGAATATGACTAATTATTGGTGGCAAATGCCTACATACCTGGGGTAACTCCAAAAGTATTATTACAGCAACCTCACATCCAAAGGGTCAATGACATAGGAATTCAACATTTTCAAATAAATAAAGGTATGCTACAGGCAGCAAAAAAAGCATTAAAAATATCTTTCCTTAAACTTGTCTGTAAACTAAAAAAGCCATTTTAAGGATTAACTGCTTGTCTGATGTTATGATCTCTAGGGTAGTTTCCTCTGTGTTCACAAAATGGTTGAGGTTGGAAGGGACCTCTGGAGATTATCTAGTCCAACCCCCCGTGTTTTACAGAGATACTAAGTTGTTAAGATTTCTTTCCTTTCATAGAAAGAATAGGGCCTGACATCATAAAAACATTCAAGGAATAATCATGTGCACATAAATATCACTGGAATAAACCAAAGCCCATTAGGAAAGAAAACAATTTAAAAACCACCTACAAACACACTCGTCTTCCACAAGAAGATGTCTTGGTTCACACTCCTCACAGAGCTGTCCTGTCACACCTTGCTTACAGAGGCACTGGCCAGTTGCACGATCACAATTAACATGAACAGAGCCACTTGGATTGCACTGACACAGATGGCAGCTGCCACCGGGAAGCTGAGGGTCACCATAATAGCCAAGGGAGCACCTACACAGGGAGGAATGGGACACTGAACATCAGGGGATATTCATCATGAAATTAGATGTTATATTTATCTTTGAGAATCACTGTTAGGTTTTTAATTAATGGCTTCTTAACAGTAACTAACAAATCACTCTAAGTCCTTGAGCACTCGTTCATCTATTTATTTATGAACACAGAATAATCTATTCCGAGTACAAATATGGCTCATATTAATCAAACTGTCCTTGGGAGTTGGGGATAAATGGGCACATCATATGTAACTCACCTTTCACAGTACTGTCCTTCATATCCTGGGAGACAAGCATCACAGTAGTAATCCTGAACACCTTTCAGGACACAAGTGGGACTAAAACTGGAGGAAGGATAAACAAATACCTGCTAGCACATAAATGGAAGACCATACAAAGACAGAGAACACCTTCAGCCACAGGTTAAATATTGGAAGCAACAGCACCCTCTGCTCAATCTGATGCAGTGCTCCAGAATTTGTACTTTAAATTATTTGTTTCTTAAAAAGTTTGCTTTCCCAATGCGACTCCATTACTGTATAACATGCTAAAGCACCTTATGGCCTTCCTTTTAAAAGATAAGACAATGAAAAATGGATGCTGCATGATATGGCTACAGTATATATCTAACTGAGACTTGCATGAGAACATCAGAGTTGCTAGACTCTTATTCAATTATCCAAAAGCAAACAACAAATATGCTTTTCAAGCTTCTGGAGAAAAAACAGCCTGCACAGCATTTTGCTTTTCAAAATAGGAAGTTAAGTGTTCCTCTACCAAACAAACAGATGTATAAATTTCAAACAAAAGAGTACTTGTTCTTCCCCTAGGACTGATCTCATGAAAAGTTCCTGCATTGACTGGAGATGGCCTGAAACTTTGTAAATACAAAAGCATTGTTTTTCGAATGAAGAAAAAGACCCACATTTGAAACTAAAACATGTCAAAGCAACTTACTCCATTATCTATAAAACATTCTATGTGGCTGATCTACTCTTAGAGAAAAAATTTACTTACCTATCAGTTAATCTTTTTATTTTAAAACCTCACAGAGTTACTAGCTGTGAACAACTCAGAATGTAAGCTCCATTTACTAAAATAGGTAGCTTTCAAATGTCTAAAAATTAAGGATGTGTAATGATAACTAACTCCTGTTGCCATAGCGTGGGGGGGGAGTAGGAGGTGGAACATACAGAAATTTGGAATGCTAAAATATACATTGGATTTAATAAGTTCTCGTTACCTAACAGGGTTGGCTCTGGGACAGGCACAAAGAGAGCAGTCGTTGACAGATCCAATTACTTTCCCATAGTAGCCTGGGGCACAAGTACTGCAGTAATCACCAACTGTGTTATCTCTGCAGTTCTGATACACAAAAAGGAATTCAGACAGTTTAAAACAACAACAAACAACAAGAGGAACTTTATCTTCCCCCCAGTCAATAAATGTATACAGTTTCCAACAATCACCTCTAAATGTCACTACCCATTGGTGAGCATTCTCTGAGTGGAGGAACCTTTTATGCAAAAATAAGCAGAATGCCAGCATATTTCCTCTTATGTGAATGCCCCCCCTCAGGCAGGCTGACCTACTTTCTGTTCTAAATTTCCATTAAGGTTTATATATTCCTGCTTCTATTAATCCAGTTCAGGCCAAGAAATCACAGTACAAAGGAAAAAATCCTTAAAAAAAAATCAACTGCTGGAAAAATTAAACAGGATACCTGGATGAAAAATACAAGTTTCAATGTTTCAGCAAACGTGTTTGAATGCTATAAACCAAGGACCATCCACAGTCAGGATTCACAGATACTACATTTAATTTGTCAACAATATTGATCAATAGCCAGTGCTATTAATATTAAAACACTAAATGGGTATTATAAACATAAATTGACCGACTAGTCCCCTAAGTGAATAAAATTCAGTTTCTCCCTTTTTTTTTTCCCTATTTTTTCTTTTTTCCTTTTTTTTGATTCATATTCTTGCGAGTGTGTTAGAGGTTAGTTGAAAACAGTAAGCAGTAGCAATGCAGCCTCCTATTGTATGGGAGCAGAAGTCAGAGGTGAAAACCATCTCTTTTGCCTACACTACTCAGATGGAAATGTCTAAGTAGTAATCTCAACACGTAGGTGACTTGCCACCCCTGCAATGAGAAGTTGAGAGGAAGAATGACTAGTATTCACTAGTGTGAAAGACCTTTTTTTTTGGCCTTGTAAAAATGAGAACCATAGTTCTTACTCATGAGATACATACTTTAGGACAAACCTGAAAGCGAAAGAATGGTTTACAAAAGCCTGAAGGACTAAGGAAACTCAGTTTAAACACTGACTTCAAGAATGAATTCAGCAGAAGTTGACTTTGAACTAACCAACTCACTATTGGAAAAACAAAGCAACTGAAAAAACTTTAGGAAAGAATTTTGAGCCATACCAGAGAACAGACTTAATGTGCCTTATTTGGTTAGCTGAGAATTTGCTGTCCGTAGGGCTGTCAGCCCACAAGAGAGAGGCAATATGTTAGTCAGATGTGGCCCCTCTTTGCAACCTTTGGGTTAAAATGAGAGAAGTGAGTAAATTAACTTAGCTGAGGCATATCTTTATACTACTTTAGTCTCTGTGAGTTAAAAAAGCCTCATTTAAAGCTGCTCAGAAGATTCTCTTCCTGTGAGACAAATAATTTGACTTTGACCTAGTCTGTGGTGCGGTATGGCTTTCTGCTTCCTTTACTCCTTTTTTGTGTGACTAAGTAGACCTTGGCCAGACCAAGGACAGAAGCCCAAAAAGTCTCACAGAAAAACAGATAAACTGAACTGATACATGAGTTATTTTTAAAGTAAAATTATAACTAAAATAATTAATGATTTTGAAGATGTTAGTGCCCAAAAAGCTTGATAATTTTACTGAATGGACCCTAAGGGAAATACTACTCAGATTTTCCATTTTTCAGTGTCACGGGGGAAATTATATTTTATCCAAATAGTACAGCCATATACTTCTCCCAGAAACTCCTTCCATAGGTTACTGCCATTGTATGCTCAGGTGAAACCAATAGAAAAATGTATAAATTGTACATACCAAGCACTTTCCAGTTTCAGGATCACAGGTTTCACTGTGGTTGTTGCACTGACATGGCACACAAGGTGCTATCAGAGTGTGAGGCTCTTTTACACCAAGTTCTGTATGCTTTCCCCTGTAGTATCCTGGAGCACAGCTCTATTTATAAGGGGAGTAAAATAAAAAAATATATGATCACGGCTATCAACGGTTACAAACAATTTTAAAAGCCATTTAAATAACTTTTTTTATTATGTCACTATTAGACACACAAAAAGGATTCAAGGATTCTGTACCTGACAGGACAATCCAGCATAACCAGCAGGGCATCTACATTGCTCTACAAGATGAGCTCTAGCTCTGCCTAGATGCATTTCTTCAAACTTCACTGCAATTTCCATTGAGATATTGGCAATTCTACAAGATATATGCAGAAGAGAGCATGAACATCTAGACAAGTCCTAGCACCAAAACTGAGATCCAAACATTTTTATGCTTCAAGGTCAGGGCTACCGTACATAATCTCCCATGATCCCCTTCTCCCCATGCAAATATCTCAATAAAATCTGAAGATTCTTTACTTATTTATGGGATTTCAGGACCTACAATAAACAAATCAGAAGTACTTCAAAGTAATACAGGTTGATTCCCATTGGTCTGCAAAACTTGACAAACCCACCATGCAAGAGTATGTATTTCTGCCTCAGAAACACTAGACAGAAGTACATCTGTTTTGTCCCACAGATTTTTGGACAGAGCTAACAAAAAGATCGTTGAGGGCATGTGAATCAAAAATAATCCCAAATCTGGAGGTGGAACCACACTTCTTCACAGCTGTGAATATGTACAGATACTGGGTTTTCATTGGATGCATCTCTGCTTGTCTTGTTAGTTTCCAGACTGACAGATGCAATTACTATTTCTAGGGTAAATTACAGTAAATGCAATAGAATAATTAAATGCAATCAGAGATTGCTTTACCTGCTTTGCTGTAATCCTTGGCCATAAGCTGCCTTGATCAGGATGTATTCAACATTGCTTAGCACAGACATGAAGTCAGAACGTAAGACAGACTCATCAGACACAGAGTTAAAATACTTCCAAGAATCCTAGGGAAACATAACATATTGAAACCATGAGTGTTCAAGCTCACTTCAAGGTAATGCTCTGTTCCTCCTTACGTGTTCTTTCAGAAATGCAGTCACAGTGACTATGTCCCAGAAAATCCAAAATCTTGCTCCGTGTTAGAACAAGACGTGGTTCTATACCATTTCTCCTCTCCTTCCCTGCGCTCAACTTCCGTGACCAGTTTCTACAGGAAAACAGTCCAGGCCTGCACGGCACAGCTTTTTCTGGCTAGATCTGGAGAACCCAGACAGCCAAAAGACCAGAACTTCACAGCACTCATTTTATGTGCAGTTAGAAACAGCTGCTGTAACTGTGTCCTGCCTCCTGTCAAGAAGAGAGACTAGACCTCACCTCAGCCCCAGTCAGCAGAGAGTCCCAGAGACCAAAGGAGGTCATCGTTATCTCCTCTGAAGTTGTCCGGTGGGCACTACTGCAACTTACTGCTCCTGCTAGGCTAAGATTCACGTCCCATATGATTCTCCTGGGCTGTGAGCGTAACATACAGACTACAAAAGTATGAGACTGCCTGAGAGTGACAATTCCTGGTTGCCTGTCATTTATCACTGAAATCTGAGTCTGTGTTTGAAAAGCTTGCCACAGCAACACCTTCAGCACTTCCAAAAGAGGAAACAATGACAAAATGTTATTTGCTGCTATAGCATAATATTCCCAGACATTTTTCCCTAAAATCGATGCATTTAATTCCAAGCACTCTATTTACTCAGCATATTTGAAGTCAGACATGCATTTTTCAAAGTATTTTATTAAATAGATAGAACTTTTCTGTAAAAGCTCATAGAAGAAAAGAAATATTTTCACACCAATGTTTTGGCTTACCTCTTTCATTTCTACTTCCTTGTCAGTTCTTACTCCGTTTTCTGGAGAAGGGATGTCTACGTAGATGACCAACTTGCTGGTGTGACCTCCTTTCATTAGAATCTGTGGCTCAAAATTTGAGGTTCCAAAGCCATCCAAAGCATAAAAAGCAACCGTATATCTCAGCTTCCCTCCATAGGCGATGAGCTGTTTGGATAAAAAATTATTACTTTTATTTATTCCAAGGTTAGAGCTACTAGCTGAAAATATTTTAATGTCATTGGAAGACTTGAAAACTGTCAGTTCTTTGAAGAATTGGCAATAAAACATGAAAATTGACTTAAACTCAGCAATTTTTGCACCAAGGTTAAATCCATATTTCTAAAAAGCAGTCTCAGTTTCTTCTTTTAGGTCCTTTCAAGGTGTGCATTCAATTTTCATTTAATTCCTAAGCAATAGAGATTCCATGATCTATATACTGAATCTAGCATCAAGGTTGAAAACTCTTTCAGGTTTCTAAAGTAAAATTGAATATAACACTCTTTCCCCCCCATATGATCTCTGAAGAGTAACATGGTAATTAAATATGGGTGTTACCAATTTACAGGGCCAAGAAAAATCTCACTAGGAAAGAGTAATGTAAACATATTGTTTGTGCTTGCTATAAATAAGTCCATATGATCTCTGAAGAGTAACATGGTAATTAAATATGGGTGTTACCAATTTACAGGGCCAAGAAAAATCTCACTAGGAAAGAGTAATGTAAACATATTGTTTGTGCTTGCTATAAATAAGTTCTGTGGAAGAATGGCTGATTCAGCAAGGCCACGATCTGGTATCGCTGAGCAACCCAT